TAATTATCACCATTTGACAATTAGCCTCTCATCCAAGTTCTGCCCCTAATTACCTATTTAACTGCTTGAGGGCGTCCGCTGTCAATCTCTGCTGCTACAGTTTCTCACAAGAATGCGAACAATTGCTGCCAGAAGTATGCCGTAAACTCCAGAGATCTGACTGTGGTTTGGGTGGAGTGTGTGCATGTGTGTGGCGTTAAGGGGGGGAGGATTGGGTAACTTTGCAAAAAACTCCACATGGACTTTTTTGTTCCTCCTTGAACATACTTTAGTCCTGTCTCTAATTTGGAAAGCTCTTTTTTTCCCTGGACTGAATCTCAGGGTTTTTTTTTCTTTTTTTTTTTTTTTTTTTTGACAATACTCCTCAGAGGAGCTGCTTTTGAAATAAGGGAATACAAGAATAAATCAGACTGAACACTTTTATGGACTAAAGATGAAATTGGCCATCATGATAATTTGGGCCGTATAAAATCCATTTTTTTCCTCCCAAATTCCACTTTTTTTATTTTATTTTATTTTTTATTCACTCTTTCAGGCATTGCTCCCTGCAGGAAAAATGTCAGTATTCTAATGACACTTCCTTCATTCAAGCCAGAAATGAATTCTTCTAATCTTTCAAACGTTTGTTGAAGTCTCAACGAGAGAAAACCTACACAACAACTAGTTAAAGCTTTTTAGCTGGTCATGCTGTCTCATCTGGCGAATCAGTTTTTTGATCATAACACTTTACGGTCTTAAACCTTGCATGTTCTGGAGATCTTACGGACATAATGAGGAAAATAAAAGATTGCTTCAGCTCAATAAAGAGTCATAGTCAGGGCCAGTGAATGTATGTGAAAAGTCAGACTCCTGAGGCTTTATTTCACTGCAATCTTAACATAACTCCTTTCTAAAAGTACATTTGAAACGCTACATGCAGCACATCTGTTGAGTAACAGACCCCTGCCTAGTTACTTCACGAGGTAGTGGGACTGATTAAGCAGCTAAAATCAGATTGTTATATTCCTGGATTTACATTTTATAGGCTTTCCTCAAGTTTCTGTATAATCTGAGTAAGTTATTTATACATTTAAAAGCACATAAATTAGAAAATGTATAAAAATTGGATTCAGTTTTCTTATGAATTTAAGAATAAGATTATTAAACACGGGTCAAGTTTTAGTGGTTTGTATGTGTAGCACAGTGGCTGTTGTATGTTTGAGGAGCTTTTTTCTGTTTTTGGGTGAAAAACAGTTTCTTCTCTCTGCTAAAAAAGCGGGGAGTGTTTGTACAACTGCAGCAGCCGATTATGTCTCAAATTGCTACAGATGAGACGTCGGCTGCATCTGAAACTGCCACATTACAACCACCATAACAAGATGTTTATGGGAACAATGAACAAAACAAATCCATAACATGCAAGATTTTCTCTAAACGGACTTGACTGCTCACACTATCAGGCCATGCGCATGCAGTTTTAGGGGGAAATCTCCCAAAAACGATGAATGTACGGTTGGACAAATCCTGCACACTTTCACAGAGAGCCTGGCAGTGGAATCAGCAGTATTGCCGTCTCCTCTTTGTGTCCTGCCTTGTCTTTTGGAACCAGATTCTTTCACTTCTCCCCACTCATGTCACTTTCCCACTCTCACTCTCTTTCTTACTTTGTGCCATTAGCAGCTTTTGGCTGTCTTACTGCTGCTCCTTTGCCAATTTTATTTATTTATTTTCCTGGCAGTTCATTCAACTGATAACACAAACCCGATGCTTGCTTGTGAATGCTCATCAGGTGTAAGGTGGGTGTGTTTGCCGCATAGGTGTCACTTTGTGTGCGTGTTTGTGAGGCATGTTACAAATGCCTGTCCTGTCCCTTTTTATGAGCTCACTCACCCAAACATCCTCTGGCTCATTTGCAGTCAGGGCCACCAGCTACTATTCTGACTGCTGAGGCACAGAGAGAAGGGCAGCTAAAACATCACACAAACACACACGCATGCATTCTCGCTGTAATCCTCATGCTGTCTCACACACACACACACACACACACACACACACGCACGCACACAAACAGTGTGTGCACTAACACAGAAGCCGGGCCAAGCGGATGGGAGGATGCGACCATCAAGTCGGTGACATTTTGAAGCAGTAAGAGAGATGCATGGCTCTTCCTGGACCTCCACAGACATGTTTTAAATGAAATGTTACAGATGAGTTCCTCACTGGCTCAGCTGTAAACACCCTTACCCTGGTATTTACCCTACATGGGTAAACAGAAGGGCGGGGAAAAAGACAACAACTTTTTAACCTGGCTCATGCTCATATATACACAGATGTGCATTAATATACAGAGCAGTGGCCTGAGGAACTCGCATGATGACAATCATGAGAGATGGCTTGGCTCAATTTGTAGATTGATTGTTGCATTAAACATTCCATTATCCAAACATTCAGCCGAAGTGACAAGTGAGCGCACCCGGCCCGTATTCTGCTCAAATTGCCATTTGATCTTCAGAACAAGTGAATTTGGGTCGTGCTGGATCTCTGCACTGGAACCCGCTCGCGCCGATCCGCAGCCTGCATCCAGAGTGGTTTTACAGAACTTAATGTTTATTTAGAAAACCAAGAGGACATTCTGTACACTCACCAACTACTTAATTAGGTAAAATTTACAAATCATCCAGTCATATGGCAGCAATTCAGAGCATTGGGGCATCTAGATGTGGTGAAGACAATTGGCGGAGCATCAGAATGAGGGAGAAAGGGTATTTATGTTGTTCTGAATGAGCAGACCACATTCATGGTTTGCTCATCCAATTCCTTGTTGACATCAGAACAGAGTGGACTGACTATTTCAATGTGATAGAAAGGGAATATTTCCTCAAACAACTATTTGCTACAGCCAAGTTTGCAGGGTACTGTTTCTGGGTGCACCGCATGTCAAACTCTGATGCAGATAGACGACAGCAGAAGGAGACCACACAGGACTCCACTCCTGTAAGCGTAGAACATGAAACCTGAAGCTACATTTCAGGCTCAGCAAAACTGGACAATTACAGATAGAAAGACATTGACGGGTCCGATGAGTTCCCATGTCTGCTGCATGTTCAGGCAGCATGGTCGGCGTTTGCCAAGAACCTCTTACACCAAGGAAGGAAGGACTTAGGACTTAACTATAACACAAAAGAATCAGAAATAAAATCTTGATATACAAATACTTTTCCAATCTCATATATTTTTTGGAGGGGAAAAACTCCAACGGCATTTTTTAAGAGTAATTCGCTGGTGTCAGAAGTTGGACGTTTCACTGAAACAACATAAAGCAAATAAGTAAAGTGTAAGATGAAGGAAATTATGACATTATAATGTATATGTTTTTCACCAGCATCTGAGGATGTTTGAAACATTTATTGAAAAATCAATAAATCTTCCCCCCCCCTCTGCTTTAATTTTCACTATCTTGTGAAGACTCATTAGCATGCCTTAGTTCTTTATAACCATAAATCTTGAAGCTCTGGAGTTTATAGGATAAAATTATTTATGTCTCTTGCTTGCTCTGCATGTAATTAGAGCACTTGCAGAGTTTCTTAAGAGTTTTTTGAACTTCTTGTAACCTTGTTGTGTTATAACATCGAAGGGTGGGTCTGAAATATTAAGTCACGTCCCCTGCATGGCTTTCAGTTAGCCACAGATAACAAATATATTTAGTATGTCTCTTGAGATTAGAATAAAAGCTAGTTTTTTCAGCCATTAAATTTGAGAAGTAAAACACATAGATTCATCACATATTGCTATGTCTCAAATATTTATCAGTGTTTTGTTTTTGTTTTTTTATGATTAGCTGTTAAAAATCTCCAAATTCAGTTTTTCAAGAAATAAGAATGTTCCTTGAGATTAAAATTAGATTTTTAATATAGAAATCTCAGCCTACTGAACAGTATGCCCATATACCGAACAGCATATGCACTTAGTACATGCTCGCTAAAAGCAACACGTTGTTGCTTTTAGAAGAATTACTTCATCAATGGAGTGAGGCTGTGGTTATTTCTGTTATTTTTGCTAATTTTCTACTGTATTTTTTCCTTCCATTAAACATTCCATTAACATTCTAGAATACAGCACTCCGTAAACCACCAGTTTATTTAGCCATGACCACAAGAATAAAAGTGAACAAAAATACATGCAATACATGGTGTTACTTAATCTTTATAGTATATTAATTTTTAATTTGTTGCCATGAACATGAATACTTGGCAACTGTGTACATACAAGTCATAGTGTGCATCAACATTACAGTCTGAAGAATTTCAGATGTGAAACAATTTTTGCTCAGTGACCAATGAATGAAAAACCCTCCTTGATATGCGATCAACACGGAAACAGCTCTAATTTGGCCCACAGATGAGATGCCTGTTTGATGGGTGACAGAGAAGAAATAGTCTCTGTGTGTGTGCTGACGGTGACAGTGTGTGGCCTTTGATGAAACTCCCTGTACATATTGCAACCCCGTGACCCTGCACAGCCTGTTCTAGATCATTGCCGCTGTAAAGATGCTTCACTGCACAGCCCTCGGAGACAGTTTGGCTCCGTATTTTTCCTATCGTGACATTTACGGTCTTGCCGTCCTGCAATCCTGTATCCTTCTGACCAGGTCTATTTTACACTCACACTTTTTTTTTTTTTTTTTTTGCAGTAGCATACCCTCAAGTAAACGTTTTCATTTTCTTGAGAGATCTAAAAATCTGTTTACTTGCTTGGATATTTTCTCTGGGCCAGATCCTCGATTGCAATGATTTAGATGGAATGCGGTTGGTATGTGTGAGTAAATATGTATTGCAGGAAAAAAGATTTATAGATAAACCAACTCATCTAAAAGTATTGGACCACGAGAATGCGTGTGCGTGTGCTTACAAATTTTTCAAGTACAAGAGGATATAAAAGGAGTTTGAGTTCATTCTGAATTCAAATGAAGTTTAAAAATGTTCAGGCACTTGTGAACCCTTTCTGTTCTCCTTCTCCTCCAGGTTCCACCGTGGTGATTATCACATCGATGTGTGCATAAATGACTACCTGGATGTCTACTGTCCTCATTATGAGGACCCTGTGCCTGAGGAGCGAACAGAGCGCTATGTCCTCTACATGGTGAACTACGACGGCTACAGCACATGCGACCACACCGCCAAGGGCTTCAAGCGCTGGGAGTGCAACAGGCCGCACTCCCCGAACGGGCCGCTAAAGTTTTCAGAGAAGTTCCAGCTCTTCACTCCCTTTTCTTTGGGCTTCGAGTTTCGACCAGGCAGAGAATATTATTACATCTGTGAGTACCTGCCATCCTTGCATACAAAGCTTTGACAAAGGAAATATAACATTTTGACACATTGCAACCACAAACTTCAATGTATAATTAATTTCTCATCTTTGGTAGAGAAACTCAAAGTAGAGCATTGATTTGAGTTTGAAGCACAAGAATACACACAGTTTTAGTGAACAAACAGCATCATAAAAAAAACATACATTTATAGTAGTGAAAAATATGAAGTAACGTAACGTCACTTGACCTGACTGACAGAGTTGCACCACTCTTCCCAGACTTAAGGTTTCTCAAAGGCATACTATTCCTCAGCCCGACTTTCTGTGTGCTCAATGCAGAGCATTGAAAGTGGCGTGGCAGCGATCCTAGCAAATACTTCAGCCAGGCTTTTCACACCATTTCTGTTGCTCACAGAAAAATCTTTTTCTTCCCTAAAATGGATGTGGAATTCATAGGGGAGTCCAAACTGAGACGGTTTGAACGTTACAGCTCACTTTCTCCCAGCTGCACAAAACCACATCTCAAAAAGGAGGGCCTGTCCGTCCGTCCGTCCGTCTGTCTTCTGCATTCATCCTCTGCCTCCTGCTCTGCTCATGGTATATGTTACGTCGTCTGCTTCTTTGACAGTGTAACTGAGCCAAACTGAGTTCATCTAAAGTTAAAACCCCTGGGAAATTAGGTTTTACCAAAGCCAGGGTAATGGAGTAGAATGGGATGGAGCTGTTTTTTCCCCACCACAGACTACACCCACGGTTAGCCAGAGGAACCACTGTCAGGTGATGCGTTTGCTGCTGTATCTTTACAACACATCGGTCTCAAGAATATCCTGATTGTTGCAAAACAGATGTAATGCTTCATTTTAGAACACATGTGCCAAACTCAAGACTCACGGGTCAAATCCAGCCCACTAAAGTTGTTTAAATAAAACTTTGAGATAACGGCTGTGTATGTGTAGTTACATTAATCTGAAAGATGTTAAATATCATTTAGTTTTACGAAGCACTGAGGATACAGAGAAATTTATATATTTTAACAGTTTAGTCAGTTTTATTAATACATTCTACCACAATTGGCCCCTAGAAAACATTAATGATCTTAATGTGGCCTAAATGAAAATGAGTTTCTCACCCCTGACATGGAGAAAGTGAGAAAGAAAAGCTTTATTGCACCCAGCAAATGCTTCTTTTTACAAATCGACTTCTGCTATAAATTTTATTTAGGAATATCAAAGTAAAGACAGCAGAATACAGATGCAATACATATTTTCAGATTTTTATTCTGCAAAAACACCCAACAACAAAGGGAAACCCATGTATCATTTTACTTCTGCTCCACACTTTGTCTTGGTCTATCACGTTAAATCCCTAGCAAGTATGTTAACGTTTGTGGTGGCAATTTCACACAATGTGAAAACATTCAGGATGTATGGCTACTTTTGCAAGGCGCTGTGGCTCGATTTCCTTGCCTGCTTCCTTCACATTTTTCCCTCGTTATTTTTGAAAACTGAGCCAAACTCTGATCTGCTTTATAAATTGGCACCTTTCTTTATGAAGCAGTTAACCTGACAGCCAGCCAAGAGCTCTGCGCTGTATTTATTTCATGTTTTGCTCTTTGACCATTCTCGGCTGTAATTCATAGCTGCGAGATGAGGTGTGCTAAGTACATCAAATCCCACAGCCCTCTCAGTGGTGTCTCTCCTGTGTGTGCCCACAAACCAGTCTGTATCTTTCCTCTCTGTGCTTTTAACAACCTGATGTTTGCTCCATTTGTCTGCTATAAGGTAACCAGATTTTATTTGGCTTTTACAGCCAATTTGCAATCCACCAAAATGAGATGGGGGGTGAAATGAAAGTCTTGCAACTTGGGAGCATGGATGGGTGTTAGTGTACAGTTATAAAATGTATCCTCCCCCCCGCCCCCCCAAAGTCTCCAACATTTTTTTTTTCCCATTTCTGTTGAGAGATGCTTGTCCTAAGGGGTGGATTAAATTACACTGCGACCGACAGGGTTTCCATGGAACGCATCCATTTTGCCATAGTGTGCCATATTGGTTTAGTGGCCTGCGGCTTCATTGGCTATTGAATGATTCTAGTGTATAGCCTCGCTGGCTACTGTTGCGGATATTAAAGTCATCCACCATGAAGCCATCTGACGTGATATTCCACCTGCCTTTTTGTCGGACTTGGTTCCCCATGAAAAGCAAAGGAGATAAATCTGATGGATTGGACAATCACTTTAGAGGACAAAATGTAAAGCTGACGGAGGAATATTGGAAGGAAATGACATTACTGGATCCGCCAATTCATCTGCAGGTTTTATCTTCATCATCCGCCACCTTCATTGTCTGGCCTGCTCTTGTAGTTTATCAGTGTGTTTCATCACCTTACATAAACCCTAAACCCAATATTTGCATACAATGCCTGTCAATATACCAAGCTAAATGTTTCCTGTTTTAGATCAGCCTGTAATCAGTAAATGCAATTGTTTCTATTTGCTAAACGTGAGAATAACCAGAGACAGAAAGTTTTCAAAGTCAGTAATTTACATACATTCCATAGTATTTGGTAGACTTGCTTTTTAAACTGAGTGAATGAGCTCAAACATATCGGTTATCTTTCCACAGGCTTCTCTCAAAAAAGTGTTGATGTTTTGGTAAAGTCCTCCTGACAGAACTGTTCTGCGTCCGGTTTGTAAACCTCCATTGCTCTCTCAGAGCTTTTTAGCTTGTCTACATATGTTATATAGGACTGAAGTGAGGATTTTGTGATGGTTGCTCCAAGACATAGACTTTATTGTCTTTAAGCCACTTTGTAAATAGTTTGCCAGTATACTTAGGATCATCATACATATGAAGGACCAATTTGCACCAAGTCTGATGTCTTAAGTTGAATTTTTCCACGTGGTGTTTGTACTTTTTGATACCATGTATTTATTTATTTATTTATTTATTTATTTATTTATTTTATTTTTTAAGTACACCCATCCTTCCTGTGCTAAAACAATGACAAAGCATGATTCTGCCTCGGCCATTCTTCACATTTCGACTCATTTTCATCATTAGTTTTACAATAGTTTCACATTTAGCAAATTTAGCAAACAATTTCAGTATTTTGAATTAATATGTAACCATTTTCAATTGTACATGTTCTCTCTTTGCACGATTCACCAATTATTAAATTACTGAAAAGGATCAAAATTCAATTAAAACTATTTTTTTCAAAAGGGAAATATCTGATTACTGCATAATATTAATCTGTCTAATCTTTTCAGGGATTACATATGTGGCATGGTATTACGATAATAGGGTTGTAAAGAACACAAAGAACCAAACTGAAAACACTGACTCAGACTCAATTATCTTTTGTCACTAATCCTACAAAAGGGAGGATGTCATTTTTTTTCTGAGATTCTTTTTTATAATTTCTTTTTTTAAATCAGAAGATTTTGTTAACAAAGATTTCTGTTGCTTTTAAAAGTGAAGATAATGTGATGGTTTAGAAGGCTACTAAATTAATTTATATTACATTAATTATAGTCACGTTTATGTATGTACTTTTAAGGCACACCTGAAACACACTTCTTCATTGTGGACATCATGGAAAAAGAAAAACAAATCAGCCAGCGTATTGGAAATAGCGGTCATCCACAAGTCTACTTCATCATGGGCACTATTTCCAGAATGTGCTATATTCATCTGTTCAAACAATTACATGCACTAGAAACACCACGGGAATGTCTATTCATTATGTAGTTCAGCTACTAGATTCTCTGTTCCAGAGATGACGTGTTTTGTTGCAAAATGTGTGTTTCTACCCCAGAACAAAAGACCATTGACTTAAATCTGTAAGACATTGTCATTATCCATAGTAAAACAAGCCGTGTACCAAAGAGTCAAAGATAAGCCCGCTAAGAGAAGACGAAAACAGTCTGTACTCAGTTACACCCATTCTGTCGAGAGAAATGGGACAAAATTCAAGGAAGTTAAAATTGTAGAGGAATAGCCAGAACATA